ATATCATCGAATTCGTTTTTTAACACCATACATTACAGTGACGCACTTGTAACTAAAGCTCTCAAATTTGAAGGTGAATTAAAATTTATGTGTACTTAATTAGTAAATTAAGGATATTTATTTTACGTGTATTTAAAACATAATATTTACTACGCGTATTAATTTAAAATAAAATATTTAAAATAGACATGTTAATAATTCCCTTAAAAAAACTAAAAACTATAAATATTTTATGTGCTTTATTTTTATCTATTACAACATTTTTGAAGCAAAATTTATGAAATTGTGTTTATTCATTATTATTATTCATACTTGAGTAGGTATCGAACTAATTTTATTATTTCAATATAATCTGAATATTATATTAAATACTATTACCATTATCATTATTCATTACATTTTTAATTATTTTTACAAACTCTGTTCCATTGTACTATAATAGCACATTTATAAGAGCATATTAAACATAATTGGGTAAATAAATAATTATCAGTTTTGAAGATAAAATAAGTTATATTGTTTTAGATTCCAAGTGGAGCAAGAAATGTATTGGTTTATTTTATTCAGGTCTTCAGGTTTAATACTTTAATTGAAAAATAAAAACTGATAATACAATTTGAATAACTAGTTACATTTCCAAATTTAAATCATGATAATAGTTTAGTCATTAATAAAAATTCACCCCTTTCAGTCATTATTAAATATTAGTATTCTTATCGTTCGCAATACGTTTGACTTTGATTAAATTTAATGTTTCACAATGAGTGCCCATTAAAACAGCGTAAATTCAGAATACTATAAATAAGAACATCGCATTAACTACCAAAATATACTTCAAGATATAAATTAATATGTATAGATACTTAGATTTAAACAGAATTGTGGAATGTTCATCAAGAAGGTTGAAGATGCCGTCCCTAAAAAGTTTAATATTATTCTCTAAATAGCTACAATGTACCATTTGCGTATTTATTTTGTATTCAAAGTTTGGCAACTTATAAAAGTAAATCGTGTTTATAGATTTTTGAAATTGATTGAATATAGCTAGTTGAATTATAACGAATGTATAATAGGTATATATCTAATATAGATAGTTCACATTGAATTAAAATAATTCTATCATTATTCTTCGAGATTCTAGAAAATGTATTAATAAAATCACCTCTTCGTAGCACCATTTGAGTTTATTGTGCACTCCGTAGTATAAGAGGGGCTTCAAATGTATTTTCTAAAAACAAAACACATCATTGTAAGACTAATAGATTTAACGCTCAGAATCTAAAAGAATAATAAGATATAGGTACATTACCATGTCATTATTTCAGTTAAACAGCTTAGGAAAAATATTACATGGATAGATTGCAAACCACTAAAATTAAAATCATCGTAAACTTCCGGAAGAATTTGTTTATTTATAAAAACCAATATTAACGAGATCGAAAATGTTTAAGATTTAAAGTTTAAAGTAAATTAAACTTTCTTATATAAATCAAATTATTACTTTAAATATTTAATTTCATAAAACTTTTTTCTATGAATTAAAACTTAATATCATAAAACTATTAAAAGTTTAACGTTATAATAATAAAACTAAATTGTATATTTTATCATATATATTTTCTTCGTGTTAAGTATCGAAACTCCTCCGAAACGGCTGCACCGATTTTGATGACATATTTTGTGTGTGCTTGAATGGGTCCTTGAATGGTTTAGATTTACAATTGGACCAATCCGGGGAGGTGCTCAAACAGGGATTTTGAGATTTACGATGGACATTTTTGTTTATAAATGGTTTCTATTGGTTATAGGAGAAATACTTAGTAGAAATTAGTATTTATTTATTATTGGTTGCCATTGGTTATTTGGGCAGTTCAGGTATAAAAGCACGCATCAAATCGAACTTTTCACATCGCCTACCAGGGTGGCTGAGTTTCACTTACTGCAGCGAGTTATCCCCAAAATGAGTTGAACAATCACAATTATTTTAAGAGTTGTCATTTTTTACGGACAACGAAGTGCTCGGGATCAACTACTAATTATAAATATACAAATTTAAAAAGCATAATCAAATATGATAATATTAATAAATAAATGTTATAATCGAGAATTATTTTTTCACTCTATATTTATTTAACCTTAGTAGTATCCTTAGAAATACTTTTTAGTGAGTCCAACGAATTCGACTTGGTGAGAACTGGTGAGTATCACACATGTAGGTAATTATTGATATCAATAGACAATAACAAGTGTGTTATTCTATACCTGTGTTATTAGATTCGGTTTTTACAAACATTTCAAAACGTGATATTTGACTTTATCTTTTCCAAATTAAAATTATAGTTTAATGACTTATGTATAGTAATATAGTCAGTGTTTGGAAAGAACGTCGTTCATGTTCATGTATAGTGAACGATACGTGTACATCACTCTTTTTTGCAAGTTTTAAGTTTTAGTTTCTTTTTTGAGAGTGAACTTGAACGACGTTTATATTTTTAATGAATTTGATCGATTTTTAAGACGTTCAGTTTATTTATTTTTTTTTTTTATTGATCAAAATAACATCGACAACAAAGGCCATTAGTTATTCAATTTATTTACCATTTAATAAATATTATATGTATAAAATATATTAATTAATTATATTACAATAATAATATTTTCATTTTTCCCATTATAATTCCTATAATATTGATTGATTTCAAAATATATAAATTAAATACGTGAAATTCCGTTTATTATTATTATTTCGTGAAATATGATGATTTCCACGAATTTGTAATAAACCTAATCGGTTTATCATAATAAGTACCCTAGTATTGGCTTAATTTTTCCACTAGGAAATCCTTATCAAAATGTAACTCAAATAATGTGTCAGATATTAAAAATTAATTCAGATACTTTTTAAATTGTATATGTTCTAAAGTCTAAATTGTATTTTTATTTTTCGTTGACGCGGATATGTTTATGGGTTTTTAATTTTTATATTGACTGCAGGCGAACGATTCATAAAAAATATTTAAATGAACGACCCAATGAACGCGTTTGTTTGAAAAAAACACGAACGTGAACGTGAACGAGTTCCTTTTTTAAGGACTGAACGTGAACGAGTTCATTTTTTTAGTGAACGTTCCGAACACTGAGTATAGTACCTATGCACGCATAATATACTGATACGATTTTTGACATATACTAAACACATTTTGTACCATAAATATAAAGAATATCTATGATTCAAATGTAGGCTCCTAAGCGTATAATTAATAACACAATCAACAATAATCTACAAACTATACAATATTATAGATAATATTCTCAACATGAGAAAACATTTGATAAATTGGATGCGGAATGTGGATGTTTCATTTTGTTATGTTATTAAAACTTCTGTTAATATTGTACGAGTTAAATTGAATTTTGATGAAATTAATTATAACAATATTGCAAGAATATGATGTGTATAGATGACTATAATTAATAATTATTCGGTACTTAAAACCATTAAATCATGAATAGAGTTAAAATATTATTGTTATACACAATAGTGGTTGAGGTTTACCACGAGAAGAATATAATTTTGTCACGTGAAGGAATGGTCGTATTGAAAAGGGGGTGCTAAAAAAAGGTGGTTGACGAGATATAAAGGGCCAATAACAAGGGGATAGGATTAATTAAAAGGGAGAAGTCGACCCTAAGACGAGATATTTAATATAAAAGTTGATGATGAAGAATGACAATAATGTAATTAAACCTATGTTCTGATTTTATAACCATAATAATTATTTTACGGAACATTTTGAAGTTTAATTAGGAGTACGGCTCAGAGCTCTTAAAAATGAGAAAATCTTTAGGACCATAGAGCCCTTCTTCAGCCGTCACTTACATTTTTTTTATACGTTTTATTTTTTTAATCATATCAGTTAGGTATTACTTTATAATTAATAATTATAATCATATAGCGAAAAGTGCCTGCAGCCTGTTGTAAATTTACATAAATACATAATTATAACTTATGCAATGAATCACGTCTATTGTTAGCTTCATTTAATGGTTTATTTTTATATACTTTCAAACCATTTGTAAAGAATATTTTTACGACTCTAACATTCTTTTAATTGAAACAGAAGTTTAAAATTGTCTGTGGACATTCTTTTCTACTATTCCGAGAATAAAACTACTAAATACGAATTAAAATAAAAGCATATTTGTACGGATTGTATACATTTACTGGCTTACTGTGTTATGCAAAGTAACCTTCTACCTATTTCATAATATTAAATAAATTAAGCCATTGAAATATATTTGTATCTTGTAAAAAAAAAAACTTTGCTCATAAAATATTCATTCGATTTATTGAATTTATTTGTTATTTATAAAAACCATGGTTATCGAAGCATTAACAAATACTTATCAATCAATTATTAATTCATTAATCCATTCTATAATTTAAAATATCGTACATCTATCTAATATAATATTATGTTTAACAGTATTATATTATGTGGTCCAGAGTGGACGACAAGTTTATGAATCATGAATGCGCTATAATAGAAGCTAGTTGGTCACTGCTGCAAGCTAATTTATAATATTATAATGTGTATATGACGATACAATATTATAATATTAATGTAACCCACGTAATATAATGCGCTTGCTAGTCAAGAGTGAGCAAATTGTAAATAGACCCTAAAAGTTACAGTTAACTGTTAAGTATAACGAGCCAAAATCTAGTCTCGCCGCCAAAATACTATATAGAATTAACAACGAATACCTTGGTGCATCTACGTGGATGGCAATCGCGGTTAAATTTTGTTAAGTTGATTTAGACGGGCACAAAGTGCTGCGGAACCTAACGAGGACTTGAAACTTATACAGTCTGAAAATTCAAAACAGCCGGATTACAGACGGACCGAATAAAGAAACGCGTGTTTTCCTCGTTCGTCGAATTATAATAATATTTTGTTTCTTTTATCCGAGTCCAATGCATTTTATTAAAATTTAATTCACACACCTTGGAACGAGCGGTTATTGGAAGTTGAGCTAATCGCGGCATAAGCACCGGACACTATCGTCCGGTGACCGACGGACACTCTAAACGTCGTGTATATCATACTGGACGTGGCGGAAGCGATGGACGAAGGATGTCTGGTAAACTGGTAATTTCGGTGAAAAGCCACCGGTGTGCGCTCGTTGGGCGGCGGCGGTAATTCGATTGCCGTCTGAGGCCGCCTTGCATTATACATTTTCCATAAATTAATGGAACGACCGGCTGCGAGAGAGATCTATTGCCAATCCAATTAAATTGCGCTCTTTCTGCACACACCGCTCGCTCGCCATTCCACCGGCCACCCATCCGCTTCATTTATACATATATATACCCTTTACCGACCCGTTATTCCTTCTCCGACTGCCCCCCATCAACCTCCCTCACCGCTCACACCTATACGTACATAGTTTCCTCGTTTGCCCAAACCACCACCACCGAACCAATCAACATATAGATTTCTCTTCCACTGCGTTTTCCGTTGTATATATATATATATGTTATATTATTACATACCCACACACACACACACAAACAATATATATCTCCGAAGGGCGTAGCTCAATTTCGCTAATGTTTTTATTGTTTTTTTTTTTATTATTATTATTTCATTTTCACCCCCTGCGCCACCCTCCCTTCACAAAAGCGAATAGCTACCGCGGTAGAACATACAAATTCTGAATTCACGCGCGCTAGCTCTCAGATATAATATATACATTAGACTCGACCTGCAGTATACCATGTGTGTGCTGCACACTAGTATATAAGGGAATAACTAAAGCGGGTGTAATGTGTGTGTGTGTGTGTGTGTGTGTGTGTACATTGCTGATCTCTGACGACCGCACTCGTGGACCGACGTAATGGAATTATAATTGAACGGACTTGCCGGGCGTTTAATAAGGAATAAGAGCTCGGAGCCGAACTATAAAAGATTAAAAATTGAAAAACAACCAGATATCAACATTTAAGGGCGATGGGTGGTGGGTGAGCGAATGGGAAGATACCGCTGTAAATACTCGACCGTAACACGCTTCCATCCACCCCTCGCGACCACCCACCACACTGTACATTTATATTATTATATCCCTCCACCCTCCTCTGAAAGTCCTTCGCGCGTACAGTTGAGAATAGACAGCAGCGGCGGCGGCACCGACTATTATACATAGGTATATGCGTTTGCTACCGTGGTTGAGCTGGGCCGATGTATAAACTCCTCGCCTGCTCGGAATCATTACGATTATTAGTCATTACTTTTTGTAATTTCGATTGATCGGTTTTTGTATCAATTTAAACGGTGCCAGCGGCGCAGTACGATTAATGTCATAATAATACGTCCTAAAAACTGATTTAGCCGCTTACAATATTGACGAGTACGGCGATGGAAGAGGAAGTTGTGTGCAGGGGTGGGAGGGGCAGATCTCCTTCCATGCGCTGTAAAACGAATTTAAAAGTTAAAAACAATTCTTAACAAAAATGTTCGTAAAAAACGACGTCGTCTGTCAACACATTTAGAACACATGTATACAATTAAATAGTGTGAAGAAAAATAAGATCACCGGGTTATTATTGAGTATAATATTCTACATTATTGTTTAACCTCTTGGCTCTTATTTTTAGACATAGTGCTTTTTTAAAAAAAAAAATATTTAAATTTATTGTACATCTATTATATTCTATATTAAATAATAAACTATAATGTATAAATACTTGCTTTCTACCACATAGGCGATTGTTAATACTGTTAAGAGGATGCTACACCCGCATGCGTGTCACATAGCGAATTGTACGTTCTGAATAATCCATTTAACTCTGTTATGTTTAATATTAGAGTGAATTGACCTATAATCAAATTTAGAAGTAGGAATAAATGAATAATATCTAGTGAATCTCGTGAGCATTCAAAAACGTACGAAAAATTTACAATTTGCTATTAACTTGTTTTAAAACAAAAATATAAAAGTAAAATTATGAGATTCGCTAGACAATATTTTTACTTTTAAATTTGATAATACTATAATAGGTCAATTCTAATGTTAAAATTAACAGAGTTAAATGGATTATTCTGGACGTACAAATTTCTATGATGTGCATCTGTAAGATGGGTGTAGAGTCCCCTTAATACAATATTTATATTACAATATTATTTTATAACTATTTATCAACTTAAACATTTTTCATTTCAGAATTCTTACATCATGTAATAAAATTAAAATTAAATACAATTTTCATTTAATTTCAATGATATTAATATTCTAAATTAAAAGTTGACACCCGCAAAAATCTCTATTAATATTCAACAACGTCACTATAATTTATTAAAGTTTGATTTTAATGACCATTAAATGGAATTGTTACGTTCAATAAAATCCCTTTTGTAGTAATTACGTACTTTAGTTTTACTTTAATTAAAATACCAATGTTGAAATACTTCTGATTCTTAAATATTTTTCAATTTCATTCTTTATATTACACATTTTATAATAATATTTTTTATTATTTATATCTAATATAGTAATATATTATCATTTATTTTGAATACCTCGAGAATAATTTTCTTATAAACATCAAAACCCAAATATAGTATGACAATTTAATATTTTAAATAAATGTTTGCTTCAAAATCTTACAAATATTAGAACTTTGTGAAAGTGGTTTTCTATATTAAATGTTCTTAAGAGTATTAGAATACTATAGTAATATACTAATATAGCCTGTAAAAAGAGTAAAAAAAAAAAATGAATACTTATTTATAAATTGCATGCACTGACTTTATTGATTTATATTTTTCAACTTCCTTAGAATATCTTAGATGTTTACACTAAAGCATTAATAAATAATAGCCAATAGGTACTTTTTATTACCTAGTTTATAACTGTATACTATTTTCTCGTACGCACTATAAAATTAACTAACATTTTTAGTTTTTCCTATTAAATTTTAGAACTTTCAGTTTAATTTACAGACACAAAAACTATATTATACTCGAACATTACAAAATATATTATATTTTCGATCCTATGTATTTTGTAAAGAACATTTCCAATAAACACAGATATAATCTTCACGTGTAGTTAAAACATTCTATTAAAATAACTAGTTAATGAATCTAAATAAAATAATTTAATTGTAATTGAAAACGTAATTCAGCCTTGGTCAAAAACTGCAAAGCCAATTTCATCAAAAACAAACCACACAAAGTGTACCCAACATAATGCTAAAAACAAACGAATGTCCTCCCCTTAAACTAAATAACAACATAATTCCATATTTCTATTAAAAGTAATTACAAGTTACAACTATTGACAAAATACCTATAACACTAAACAATATATTAATCTAGTCAACTATAACAAGTAATTAAACTCTTGCTTTACTTCGACCTAATTTAATAAAATCAAACACAAGTTTAAAATCTCAAAAATAAAATGTTTATTTACAAATTAATCATCAGTGGAGTAAAGTCATATGGAATCCAAATATGGACCATGCTAAACCAACGAACATCTAACAAGCTTTTCAGTACATCGCTTTAAGACTTATTACAAGTACCCAGTGACGCAATAGCACCCCTGGGTGCTCGGGGTGCCAAGTTAGGGCCATTAAGTCGTAACGTAAGTTTGAAAATACAATAATCTAATTGGAAATTTTACGTAGAAGTGCATGGTGTAAAAATGGTTGAAATCATTTTGAACAATATCAGTAGAGTTATAGCCAATTTAACTATAGAAATTATATTTACTAAATTATTATAGAAATTATTGCAGCGTATTATTTTCAACATTTTATTAGATAATATTTCCCTCGGCCTGCATAAATTGCATTATCCGACACCTATTACAAATACTAATTTCTATTATTACAAGTACCTATATTAAATATATTACAATAGTCTACTATAATATTTATCTGCAAAAAAAAAAGAAAAAAAGATCATTGTAAAACCAATATGTTCCCGAAGTTCAAAAAAAAAATTTGTGATATCCCAACAATAACACTCAACCATAATCCGAAAAAATAAACACTAAGTATAAATCCATTTTGTGTTGTCTGGTTAAATTTTTTTCAAATTAATTTTAACCCAATATTTCAAACTTAAAACAAAGTCTAAATAAAGTAAGGTATACGAATATGATTATCGGTATTCTTGGTGTTTTTTTTTTCGTAGTTTTAATTTTAAAGCGAGTTATGAGCATTTTTAAATTTGTGTACCTATTTTACGTGTTTATAGGTGTAACTCACTTAAAATTAAAATATCAAAAACAAAAAAAGCTGAAGTGTGTAAACATTTAATATTCTTATTACAGATAATATACTTAAAAATTTGATAGTAGGTAAATGTACAACACAAAATTGATTCTACTGAACATGAATTCTCCATGTAGGTATACTGTATATGTTATCGTAAGACAGATACAACACGTGAGGATCATATCGGGTCCTCAAAAGTTTAACACAGGTAATAAAACACAGTCGTCATAGCTAGTATCTATGCGCCAAAAATGAGAATGTGCGAAATAAGTACCATACGGTCGGCTTTCCAAGTGATGTTGAGCTGTTTTTTTTTTCAACTGTAGGGTAAATAAAACTCACGTCATCGGATCCGGAGTCTGAGAAAGTCTCCTCGGAGGCGCTAGGTTTGGACTTCCTTGGTGCCATTGTGAGAATTTTTCCAATAAGGTCGAAAAACCTAACCACGGAACGCGGACGGTTAGCAAATGCTGAAAATTTAAATACAATAGTAGGTACCTACCTAGTTATGTATACCATCGTCCATCGACATTCGTTGCCAAATATATACAATAAATAATATATCATACATTTTTTTTTTTTTTTTGGTGCAAATTTGAATATCTATATAAGCTTTTAACGGAACACGGACACAGACACCTAACCTTACCTAACACTGCGAGGATCACTATTTGGTGGAAAACGGAAACCTTCATTTTCCTTTGTTTCTTAATGAATTCACCACATATTCGTTTTGAAGAAATATCAATAACTATTTGAGGTGTCATTTCGTGAAACCAACACCTTGCATTTCGAATATGATGTCGTACTTAGACAAATAACTAACAAACGCAGTGTACGATCAAACGAAACTCTAATATAAGTGGATTAACATATGGATACTCGATTAAATACACATAGATAGATACTTTTACTATAGCATATAATGTATTAATGTACAATGTTTGTTAC